ACTTATGTTTTATAAAGTTGCAGCAAACAACTGAATTAGTGACTACTGAACCATTGCTCCCAGGAGAAATACAGGGTTAGGTTCCTGTGGGCCTCTGGTCACAACATTTTCATCAACTGATCAAATATATAACCTTGGTTTTCTTTGTGTTTCTGTTTATAGACACCTTATTTAATATATGTTGTTGATTGATTAACATTGAACTCATGGCCAACAACACTGTGACTCATGCCTGAATGAAGCTTTTCTTTTCTTTTCTTTTCTTTTTTTTTTTTGAGACAGAGTTTCGCTCTGTCACCCAGGCTGGAGTGCAATGGAGTGATCTCGGCTCACTGCAATATCTGCCTCCCGGGTTCAAGTGATTCTCCTGCCTCAGCCTGCTGAGTAGCTGGGATTACACGTGCCCGCTACCGCGCCCAGCTAATTTTTGTGTTTTTAGTGGAGACGGAGTTTCACCAGGTTGGCCAGGCTGGTCTTGAACTCTTGACCTCAGGTGATCCACCTGCCTCAGCCTCCCAAAGTGCTGGGATTACAGGCATGAGCCACCTCGCCTGGCAATGAATGAAGCGTTTCTAGCATAGTTTATAAGGCACATTACAGCCTTCTTGCTCTTAAGAACACCGCACAACACTTTGGCATTAAGCGTAAGAGCCATTTTAAACAGTGAAATCACCAACAAATAGCCCCAAAATGCAAAAAGTGCATCACTAGATAGACCTTAAAAAAGACACTCACTGGCCGGGCACAGTGGTCACGCCTGAAATCCCAGCACTTTGGGAGGCTGAGGTGGGCGGATCATGAGGTCAGGAGATTGAGACTATCCTGGCTAACATGGTGAAACCCCGTCTCTACTAAAAATACAAAAAATAGCTGGGGTGGTGGCACGTGTCTGTAATCCCAGCTACTCAGGAGGCTGAGGGAGGAGAATCACTTGAATGAGGGGGTCGGAGGTTGCAGTGAGCTGAGATCACCACTGCACTCCCGCCTGGTGACACAGCAAGACTCCGTCTCAAAAAAAAAAAAAAAAAAAAAAAAAAGAGACACTAATATTTACACCACGAGAGCTGCAACAAGAAAAGAAGGCACAGCACTGCCTTGTTCCACTTCAGCTGGGAATATGTGTATCAGGTGACTCAAACTTGTCACCTCTCAATACAAGTCTGTGAATGACCTCAGTAGCACTGTAAGTATTGATTTTGGGTTACAAACACATTTAGTGACTAGGCAAATCCACTAATACAGAACTCACAAGTGTCGAAGACTGACTGTAAATGCTGTGGTAGTTTGGAGCCTTGGGCTATTTTGACCTTGTGACACTGCCATCTCAACATGTAGTTTCTAGGTTGCCTCAACAGCGAAGAGATTGTTGGAGGCTCATTTGCTAGCTCTTAAATTCTTTGGTCAACCACAGTCCATTGAACAGAACTAATCACCTGAGCCCACCTAACTGCAAGAGATCTGGGAAATGTGAGGAACACCTAGATATCTAGTAAGCAATTAATATTTCAGTTACAAAATCCAAAACAAAAAAGAGAGAAAAATAATTGTACTTTACAAAGGGAGGCATCTGGCTGAGTGCGGTGGCTCATGCCTGTAATCCTAGCACTTGGGAGGCCGAGGCAGGCGAATTGCCTGAGCTCGGGAGTTTGAGACCAGCCTGGGCAATGTGGCGAAACCCTGTCTCTACTAAAAATACAAAAAAAACCAGCTGCGCATGGTGGTGCACACCAATAATCCCAGCTACTCAGGAGGCTGAAGCATGAGAATTGCTTGAACCCGGGAGATGGAGGTTGCAGTGAGCTGAGATGACACCACTGCACTGCGGCCTGGGTGACAGAGTGAGACTCAGTTAAAAAAAAAAAAAAAAAAAGGAGGCATATGGGTCTTTTTGTTGTTGTTTTTTGTTTTTTGAGACAGAGTTTCACTCTTGTTTCCCAGGCTGGAGTGCAGTGGTGCGATCTCGGCTCACTGCAACCTCCGCCTACCAGTTTCAAGCGATTCTCCTGCCTCAGCCTCCCAAGTAGCTGGGATTACAGGCACATGCCACCACGCCCAGCTGATTTTTTTGTATTTTTTAGTAGAGACAGGGTTTCACTATGTTGGCCAAGATGGTCTCAATCTCTTGACCTCATGATCCGCCCGCCTTGGCCTCCCAAAGTGCTGGGATTACAAGCCTGAGCCACCGCGACCGGCTAGGGAGGCATCTGTTCTTGTCAGGCAGAGAGTGCCCTGTGGGAGTTTTGGGGAGTGAGGATGTTTCAGAGTTCTCAACTCCTGTGGCTCTTCCCAGGTATATCCATTCTAACTGGCAGATCACAGAGTGTTCTAGTTATCACCAGTCTTATCCATTTCATTTTAGCAGGACATATGGTTAATTTCTTGTTCTGGACCCTTGTAATTTAAATTTGCTGGTTGTTCTCTGTTTCCATTTGGTCATCTGTAGGCTGGAACTTGTCTCGCTCTTGTTGAACTTTATCAAATTATAAGCAATAACCAATACACTCAAATAGCCTGGTATATTTGCCATAAACCCTAAGCACTTCGCCCTCAGTTTGCACATAGTCTGAATCCTTAGCAGCAAGAGAATTGCTTAATCAATGGCTTACAACCACAGAACGTGGACTGCCAGGAAATTTTCCATGCTGAGTTGAGGGAATCCTCATTGTTTCTCTCTCTGGTTGACTCAACTAGTTCCATATTTGTTCTGAAGGTCTTTCACTCAAGATACAACTTCCACATAATCATTTATGTCTTCATTAGAACTCCTTTAGTTTCAAGTAGAAAAAATCATCTTGAGCTATTCTAATATAGTAATGGTAACATTGAGTGAATGTTTATTCTGTACCAGTGTCTGGCACGTAATAAGTGCTTAATCTTTGTTGAATGAATGCTAGACATTGCACTAAGCACTTTAAATGCATTATCTAATCCTCACAAAAACTCTACACTAGGATTTTTTTCCTTTTTACAGTAAAAACAACAACAGCAACAACAACCACAACAACAAAAAACCAAAAACAGAGATTTAGAAACTGCCCCAGGACACGCAGCTAGTAAATGCTGGAACTAGGGTTTGAACCTAGACCATCTCATTTTTTGCTACCCTATGAGGGAAAAAAGAGAATTTATTATAAGAGGGTTGTTACAGAATGAAGGGCAGAAATTCAGAAGGATTACAGGATGTGCTGGAACCGGAAAGCTGTTGGGAACTCAGGTCATATTCTCCCTCAGATTCATCTGTCTGCTTTTTAGACTAGATGTGGTATCCTTGATGGGCAAAGGGAATGTTGGTAAAATTACACAACAGATCATTTCACACATCTCAACTTTTGATTTGCCTTGGAAAATCCCATCATTGCTCCCAGCTGTCTTTGTGACCTAGGTTAAGTCATTCCATTTCTTTGGGCTTCAATTCCCCTGTCTATAAAATGAGAAGTTCTTACCAGAGGATTCCTCAGGTCTCTTCTGTGATCCTGGGAGGCCGAGGCAGGAGGACTGCTTGAGTCCAGGAGTTCGAGGGTGCAGTGAGCTAGGATAATACCACAATATTCCAGCCTGGGCCACAGACCAAGACCCTGTCTCTAAATAAATAAATATATAAAAATAAAACTCCGTGATCCTAAGTGAATATCCTAGATCAGAAGCACATTAATAATGAAGTTCCATGTGTGGATTTGAGAGAGAGAATGGGGAAGGGTTCTAGGGAAAGGAGGACAGAATGAAAGTTTGGGTGTAGCTTCAGTGTTGAATTGCTTTTAGAGTTGGTGTAAAGTGAAGGCCTTTGGGGAGATATAAATGGAGAATGGAAAAGACTTCTAACCCTGGCCTAGGGCGGTGGCTCAAGCCTGTAATCTCAGCACTTTGGGAGGCCGAGGTGGACAAATCACTTGAGGTCAGGAGTTCAAGACCAGCTTGGGAAACATAGTGAAACCCTGTCTCCACCAAAAAATACAAAAATTAGCTGTGCATGGTGGTGCGTGCCTGTAGTCCCCAGCTACTTGGGAGGCTGAGGCAGGATAATCGCTTGAACCAAGGAGGCAGAAATTGCAGTCAGCCAAGATAGTGCCACTGCAATCCAGCCTGGGTAACAGAGTGAGACTCATCTCAGAAAAAAAAAAAAAGAAAAAAAAAGAAAAAGGAAAAAAATGGCATCGTGGCTCACACCTGTAACGCCAACATTTTGGGAAGCTGAGGTGGGCAGATCACTTGAGGTCAGGAGTTCAAGACCTGCCTGGTCAACATGGTGAAACCCCATCTCTACTAAAAATACAAAAATTAGGCAGTAGTGGTTCACACCTATAATCCCAGCTACTCGGGAGGCTGAGGCAGGAAAATCGCTTGAACCAGGGAGGCAGAGATTGCAGTGGTGAGATAGCCCCACTGCACTCCAGCCTGGGCGACAGAGAGAGAGTCCATCTCAAAAAACCAAAACCAAAAACTCAAAAAACAAAAAACAAAAACAACAAAAAAGACTTCTAACCCTGACCAGACCAGATTATTTTGAATGACATCTCTTTCTCTCTCTGTTCCATGAGCAGTTCTGTGTGTAGGGAGATCAGTCCCTGTGCGTAGTGATTTAGTTGGGTTTCTCTCTTCTCAGCTCGGAGTTTTTGAGAGGGCTTTCACTTAGGCCACAGAGAAAGAACCAAATAATAGGGGATCCCAGGGGGAAGGGAAAACCAAAACATTTGAATGGCCTAATGAGCAAGTCACATTTCTCTGGGTCTGTTTCCTTATCCATAAGTTGAAAAGTTTGGTCTATGTGATCTCTGGGGTACTGCTCAGCTCTTGACACTCTGTGGTTCTGGGTAGTGAGTCGAAAGCAGCTTTCCTCTTCCTGAATTCTCCATCCTTGGAACAGACCTCTGTCTTCATTTCTCATCTGTTTATACCTTGCTGCCCAGTTTCTTGCTCCTGGGCATCCTTTCTTCCTCAATTTCTTCAAATCCTACTTGCTTCTTAGCTCCTTCATATCCTCTTTGTTTTCTATGTTTCTGCAGAACCCCAGATTACAGCCTTACACACCTGTTCTCCAGTTCGCCATCTCCATGTCTGCCTATTCCTTTCTGCATCACGGGCTCATAACTCAAGCAATCTCCTTGGGTTCCTCTGAGGGGCCCCTGGGATCCCCTATCATTGGTCCCTTTCACAGAAGCCTACCCTTCTCCAGAGCCAAAGGATCAGATATTCAGTGGCTCAGGTAACAAACCTGCTGTCAGGTTACAGATATTGTTTCCTGAAAGACCACACTACAGTGTCAGTGGAGCCTCAGGCTGCCTGCAGTGCCCTGCCCTCACCTGGCTAACCCACACAGTTGAGAATAACCAGAACTCCCCTCCGGTACCAGTGTTCACCTGGAAACATGGCTCTGAGCCTCTGGCCCCTGCTGCTACTGCTGCTGCTGCTGTCCTTTGCAGGTGAGAAGAACAGTGAACAGAACTGGGGATGAGGAGGAGGGTGGCTGGAAAAAGACTTTTAAGAATGTGGAGGTTAACCTGTTAGATAGAAGGACAAAGGAGAGAGGCAGAGACTTATGCAAAAGTAAAAAATGAGGGCTAAGAAAAGCAGGCCAAGACTTACTATGGGCCAATGAAGGGGGTTCAGCTCACCATCCCGTCACCTCATCTTTAGATCCAGGTAGGGAACTGTGCTCATTTGCAGGGTTGAGTTTGGGCTCTATATTCCTCCCCTTTAGTGACCTCTGGTTTCTCTCCTTACAGTGACTCTTGCACCTACTGGGCCTCAGTCCCTGGGCCCTGGTCTCTCCTTCCTGAAGTCATTGCTCTCCACTCTGCACCAGGCTTCCCAGGGCTCCCGGAGCCGCTCACAGTTCTCTACATTCCTGGCCAACATTTCTTCTTCCTTTGAGCCTGGGAGAATGGAGGAAGGACCAGTAGGAGAGCCCCCACCTCTCCAGCCACCTGCTCTCCGGCTCCATGATTTTCTAGTGACACTGAGAGGCAGCCCCGACTGGGAGCCAATGCTAGGGCTGCTGGGGGATCTGCTGGCACTGCTGGGACAGGAGCAGACTCCCCGAGATTTCCTGGTGCACCAGGCAGGGGTGCTGGGTGGACTTGTGGAGGTGTTGCTGGGAGCCTTAGTTCCTGGGGGCCCCCCTACCCCAACTCGGCCCCCGTGCACCCGTAATGGGCCCTCTGACTGTGTCATGGCTGCTGACTGGTTGCCTTCTCTGCTGTTGTTGTTAGAGGGCACACGCTGGCAAGCTCTGGTGCAGGTGCAGCCCAGTGTGGATCCCACCAATGCCACAGGCCTCGATGGGAGGGAGGCAGCTCCTCACTTTTTGCAGGGTCTGTTGGGTTTGCTTACCCCAACAGGGGAGCTAGGCTCCGAGGAGGCGCTTTGGGGCGGTCTGCTACGCACAGTGGGGGCCCCCCTCTATGCTGCCTTTCAGGAGGGGCTGCTCCGTGTCACTCACTCCCTGCAGGATGAGGTCTTTTCCATTCTGGGGCAGCCAGAGCCTGATGCCAATGGGCAGTGCCAGGGAGGTGAGTGTGGCCAGGGCTGGGGCTGGGATGTGGCAGGGCAAGGAAAGTGAAATTGGGGTAGTTCTCTTCCTTACTCTTTCCCTCCTAGGTAACCTTCAACAGCTGCTCTTATGGTAAGTAAGAGGGGACCAGTTCTGAGGGATTGGGCCTGGAAAATCTAGAGGTGGAGAGCTGACGACATCAGCCTCTAGAGAGGAAAACTGATGGGGGGAGTGTGGTTTAGCGGTTTTGGAGTGTGACTGTCTGGGTTGGTGTCCCAGCTCCACGTCTTCCTAGCCATATGACCTTGGGCAGGTTACATAATCTTTCTATACCTCAGTTTCCCCATTTATAAAATGAGAATGATAATATTAGTTACCACAGAGTTGTTGCGCCCAATTAAATGAGTTGATACTGTGTGTGCAAACAACTTAAAACAGTGCCGGCACATAGTGCTTAATAATGGTAGCTAGTAAAGGTGGGATTTGGAAAATAAGGACACAGCTGGATTCCTCTACCCTCTTCCTACTTCAGTACAACAGTGCCAGAGCATAGTTAGACATATTGAGTTGCTGAGCAGATTTCCTAACAGGAGGCCCGCTGAGGGTTGTGTTTAAGCTATCTGAAAGCATATGAAGAAAGGAGACAGAAGGGAGCAGACAGAAAGGTGGACAGAAAGCATTCCAACTGGGGCTTCTCCTAGGTGATTTTGGAGCTTGGCGGGGCAGCTGTCTCCTTTTTGCCCTGTCGCAGCATTTCAACCAGTAATGCCTAAACTCTCAGGGACCTCGCTTGTAGAAAAGCCTATGCTTGCCATGCCCCTTGAGGGCTCTGGGTCAGGGTCAGAATCTTCAGCCAGAGGAAATGTGAACTGACCAGATCCTGCCTGCTCCTCCCTCTGCACCCAGGGGCGTCCGGCACAACCTTTCCTGGGATGTCCAGGCGCTGGGCTTTCTGTCTGGATCACCACCCCCACCCCCTGCCCTCCTTCACTGCCTGAGCGCAGGTGTGCCTCTGCCCAGAGCTTCTCAGCCCTCAGCCCACATCAGCCCACGCCAACGGCGAGCCATCACTGTGGAGGCCCTCTGTGAGAACCACTCAGGCCCAGCACCACCCTACAGCATTTCTAGCTTCTCCATCCACTTGCTCTGCCAACACACCAAGCCTGTCACTCCACAGCCCCCTCCCAGCACCATTGCCATCTGCCAGACCGCTGTGTGGTATGCAGTCTCATGGGCACCAGGTGCCCAAGGCTGGCTACAGGCCTGTCATGACCAGTTTCCCGATGAGTTTTTGAATGCGATCTGTAGTAACCTCTCCTTTTCAGCCCTGTCTGGCTCCAACCGCCGCCTGGTGAAGCGGCTCTGTGCTGGCCTGCTCCCACCCCCTACCAGCTGTCCTGAAGGCCTGCCCCCTGTTCCCCTCACCCCAGACATCTTTTGGGGCTGCTTCTTGGAGAACGAGACTCTGTGGGCTGAGCGACTGTGTGGGGAGGCAAGTCTACAGGCTGTGCCCCCCAGCAACCAGGCTTGGGTCCAGCATGTGTGCCAGGGCCCCACCTCAGATGTCACTGCTTCCCCACCCTGCCACATTGGACCCTGTGGGGAACGCTGCCCAGATGGGGGCAGCTTCCTGGTGATGGTCTGTGCCAATGACACCATGTATGAGGCCCTGGTGCCCTTCTGGCCTTGGCTAGCAGGCCAGTGCCGGATAAGTCGTGGGGGCAATGACATGTGCTTCCTAGAAGGGCTGCTGGGCCCCCTTCTGCCCTCTCTACCACCACTGGGACCATCCCCACTCTGTCTGACCCCTGGCCCCTTCCTCCTTGGCATGCTATCCCAGTTGCCACGCTGTCAGTCCTCTGTGCCAGCCCTTGCTCACGCCACACGCCTACACTATCTCCTCCGCCTGCTGACCTTCCTCTTGGGTCCAGGGGCTGGGGGTGCTGAGGCCCAGGGGATGCTGGGTCGGGCCCTACTGCTCTCCAGTCTCCCAGACAACTGCTCCTTCTGGGATGCCTTTCGCCCAGAGGGCCGGCGCAGTGTGCTACGGACGATTGGGGAATACCTGGAACAAGAGGAGGAGCAGCCAACCCCACCAGGCTTGGAACCCACTGTCAACCCCAGCTCTGGTATAAGCAAGATGGAGCTGCTGGCCTGCTTTAGTGTGAGTGCTCTGCCAGAGGGAAAGCTCCTAGAACAGGGAGAAGGCCCT